ACAAACTATTTTTAGGTCAGTCCTTGTTCACTTTTCAGGAACAGTCAAAATTGCCTTGCCCATCTAAAAAAGAAGTCATTTGCCCTCTTGCCAAATTCTTACCTGTAGCGACCATGTGGTGTTATGCAGATCTGTGTTTAGGCACTCCGTTGTAAGTGCTGGCCTACTTTGCAGCTTCTCTTCTACCAAATATGGGCAGATCCAAACCATGATGTGTCCTCCCTTGCACGCTATGTTTTATACCTTTCACACTCACAGTCATCTATTGATCCTTTGCCTACCGGCCTACCTTCAGTGCTTCCTCTTACTTGGAAACTTCTGTGATTAAGGTCAGAAAAGCCAGACCTAGATGAGGACAACTTTTCACTTTTGACCCTTGAATTTATTTATTTTTTTCCTGGCTCTCTCTTGGGCCACAGTGACTTATTCATTAACAAGTATGGTTAGAACATAAACACCACTATCAGCTTGCATCTGTTTATAAAGTTAAGTCTCTATTATTAAGGGACCAATTAACCAGTCTGGAGGTTCCACGGGCCTCCTGCAATGTGCCTTTTGGCCACCTCAGTCCCCACAGAACATCACTCAGAGAGCGTGGAGATGACCAAGCAAAAACTCTGAAACAAAGATTATTCAGTTGAGCTCCACGTGAAGTTAGTCAAGTCTGGGGGAAACGAAAATTACACATTTCAGTGTGCTTGGGGATTATCTAAGTACAGAAATTCACATGGTGACAGTGAGCGGGGCTTTCTTTTATACTATATAAATGCTTGTCAATGAGCAATAAAATGTAGGTATTATGAGTGCTAATAAAAGTTAGGAGTGTTATTTTTCTGGTATTAAAATCGAGTCAACAAATCGTTACCAAATGTTTGCCTGCCGTCCTATAAAAGAAAATGTTTGGTTGTCCACCTCTAGACAGGAGCTCAGAGAGAGAAGGCCTCAATTATGTTGACTTCAGGCCAGGATTAGCCTCAGTGACTTAAAGTATTTTGCATTCATCTGACAATAATTGTAACTGACCTTGAATATTACTGAAGTAGCTACGAATAGATCTAAGCTATTGGGGAGACACAAAGATTGCTTTAGCATAGCATTTCACTTCTATTTCTTTATACTAGTTTGCGGGATAACCCATTTTAAATAATAAGTTAACATTCCTAAAATGTATGTGTAAACTAGAGATACTTATTTCAGGCATAGTTTTTTATTAAGATGTTTCAGAATCCTTTAAGACCCAATACGTGGTGGCTCCTAAATTTTTACCTTTACAAGAGTCCATCTATCTTCCCATCCTTAGCCACTGCATAGTTATCGTTGTATAAAGAAATAGTTAAGAAGCCTAATTTTAGTTCAATTAAAAAACATTTTAGTGAATACTGTAGTATTGGTTTCTAACACCAAACCTTTTCAACTTGCAGAATCTTGCCACAAGTATTAGATTTCTATACATTCACATATAAAATTTGTGCTTTACTCCAGAAACTGATGGGAGTGCTTTACTCTTTAGAATCCTCTAGAATGAGGTTCAGCAATGGTTTCTGTAAATGACGAAATAGTAAATATTTTAGGCTTCGTGGGACAAGAGGCAAAGTTGAGGATATTATCTACAACTTTTTATTAATACAGGTCTCCTAATGAGCATGGTGGAATTTATTTAGGGATGCTGAAATATGAATTTCATATACTTTTCATGTGTTATGAAATATTATTCCTCTTTTACTTTTTTTCAACCCCTTAAAAATGTAGAAACCATTCTCACCATCTGGCCATGCAAAAGCAGGCTGGCCAAGTCTGGCTCAGGGGCTGGAGTTTGCCAATCCTTACCCTAGAACATAAGCTCTTAGACAGTGGATAGTCCAGAGCCCTGCACCAGTGGTGAATTCCACGAGGGCTTTGAACTTCCTGAGGAAGTTCCATAGACCAGAGTCCACAGCTTTCCAAGAAGTCCAGGATTAAGGAAGATTAGGGGCCACCGTTCTAGAGACAATCACTACCGTGCAGTCACTCCTGGGAATTCCAACCTCATAGCTAATACTATTAGAGACACTGGGGGTAAATAAATGTCTAGAAGATCTTGTTATTCATGAATTGGTTGTCTCCACCATTCCTGTTGGCTTTATAAGACTCAGAGGAAGCTGAAATTCCACACCTCTGGTTTTCAAGGGAAAACCTCATATTTTCAAATATTTAGTAAAAATAATTTAGGTTCAAGTGAATATCTGAAACATATTTAAGTGTCCAGACTGTTTGAGACTATAAGTAGAAATCAGATTCAACCTGCTAGGAACTTTTCTCTTTAAAAGGTTCTTTACCCCGCAGGTGGGTTCATGTTAGCTCCACTGACATGAAGGACTACAGTGGAGGTATAGGCAGGATGAAAGCTGCGTAGTAAAACTGAATGTGTGAGCTTGCAGGCTGCTTAATGGGTGGCTGTGAGCCAAAGCTAAGCCCTTGAATGTTCAAATTCATGAAATGGAATAGTGACCCTGGGGCAGAAGTGGTGGTGGGAAAACCAAAAATGTCCATTTGAAAGTAACTAAGGGGAAGCCCGGGTGGCTCAGTCAGTTAAGCGTCTGCCTTCAGCTCAGGTTATGATCCTGGGGTCCTGGGATCCAGCCCCAGGGCGGGCTCTGCCCACAGCGGGGAGTCTGCTTGAGGATTCTTTCTCCCTCTCCCTCTGCCCCTCCCCCCAGCTCGAGTTTTCTCGCTCTCCCTCTCTCTCTCTCTCAAAATACATAAATAGATCTTTTTAAAAAATTCAGTAGTTTTGGGGGCGCCTGGGTGGCTCAGTCATTAAGCGTCTGCCTTCGGCTCAGGTCATGATCCCAGGGTCGTGGGATCGAGCCCTACATCGGGCTCCCTGCTCAGCGGGGAGCCTGCTTCTCCCTCTCCCACTCCCCCTTGTTTGTGTTCCCTCTCTCACTCTCTCTCTCTCTCTCTCTCTGTCAAAAAATAAATAAAATCTTTAAAAAAAATAAAAAATTCAGTAGTTTTTAAAGAGAATCGTAATAATGGTTCTCACATTTATAAAAGGCTAAAAGCAAAACGTATCCAGGAGAAATAGTGTGGTGACTTCAGTGAGAAATTTACTATGAACGTCAGAGAGAAAAGAGAATTAGAACAGGGTACTATTGTGTGGTTCAAATACAGAGTTTTACCATGAGAGATTCTTGCTGATTTTCGAGACAACCATGAATCCTCAAGTTGATAAAACGTGCCTTATCATGGAAGCATGCCTGAGTAGTTGTTTCCAAGAGATTTCCGTCTCATTCTATAAAATAATATCACATCAGCTAATTCCTAGAGCTTCGTATCTCATTCGATAAGATATGCCCTTATAGCTTTACATCACAGTGCCTCGTTGGGCTGGGGCAGCCCTAGACAGCTAGGCCTCCAACATTAAAGCACCTTCCCTGACTGCACCATCAACTTTCCAGGTACCTGGTGTTGCCAGTGTTGAGGGTCCAAGTTCTTTCTGTCCTTCCTAATATGCCAATTAGCTACTTTGATAAAATCATCTATGGTCCAGTGCAAATCCGAAAGCCCCTTCCTTCCAAGTTGGCATGTGGGTTTTTTTTAATGGGCTTCATGGAGAAGGCGTGCAGGTGAAAATCTCAAGTCAGACCAGGGGTTGGGTTGGTGAATATATATAGCCCCTCACTTGGTACTCCACAGCCTCCCATTCTACCTGCATTTCGAGCTGTTCCTCTTTGTGTGATTTAGCAGAAGGTATGGGTACAGCTTGATGGTGCAGAAGATTCATTCTTTAGTGAAAGAAATAAAAAGAAAGCAGAAGAGAACTCACAGCATTAGCAACACACCGTGAGACTCCACCAGGTGTACATCAGTGCACTAACAACCTTACAGAGTCCCTGCTAGACATGTACCACATTCAGCTGTGGTTTGTCCTTAATTTGTTCAGTGCTTACATTTCTTTTTAAACTTTATCATTGATTCTATCAGTCATTCACTAAGAATGGGGTACTATAGTGGAGACAAGAGAACTCTCAAAGAAATTAGAACCCCATTGAGAGGAAAAGATGCCCACTTTGGAACAAGCTGGAAAATAGCACATAAATTGATAAATTACATGGTTACAGATAATAAAGGCAATACATATATCAAGCTCTTTGAAATTGGGACTTTTGCAAGGTAGAAAAACCCATGGGAGCCCTTTCCATTGCTCCTGCTTTCCTTTACAAGCTGTGCTCTACTTGATACACCTTAAAATCCTGTCATCTTATTTCTTCCTGCCTAACAGGGATCCTTGGAGCATTTTTTAGGGCCCCTTTTGGACTGTGGATATCATCTGGCCCCCTAGGTAAAGATGAGGCTGGGCAAGTCAGATTCATTTGTGAAGTGGAACCCTTAATTTAAAAAAAAAAAAAAAAACAAAAACAAAAAACAAAAAACGACCATACCCATCTCATTTTGGGTGGACAGCAAGAAGTTGTTAGAACTCTCACTTTTCTTTAATCTACCCCTTTCTTCTACACTCCTTGCTGTCTTCCATAATGGATAGTGGACCCAAAACAGAAGTAAGTTGTCAACAGGGTTGGTGGGAACTTCGGCAGGCTAGAGCCGGGCAGTGCTAATGGGAAAGAAGAAGGAATGGGGAACGAAGGGGCTTTCAGGAGAACCTGAAGTCGGCCTGCAAGGTACATTGCCTGTATATATGATATCGTCTGTGGCATGGTTTTTAGGTTAAAAACAGAAGCGCGAGAGAAAACGCATTTCAAAGACATTCCATCAGTGAGATTTAATGTGGCTAATTCATGACTCAAAATTGTGTGCCTGGTTTGATCAGTTTACCAATAAATTTGTTACTCAATGAGATTTGTTGGTTTAAAGCAACTCCTATGTGGGAATTAATATGAAACTAAAAATCAATCGGTAAATTTGGATATGACTTAGGCTTTTTGAAAGAGTGTGTCCTTGTGTAATAGTAGTAAGAATCTATTTACCGCTAATACCTTTTTTCTCTTTTAAACATACAGAGTTCTTTTCCTATGAATCCGTCACTTGCAGCTAATCCTGCAATGGCTTTCAATCCTTACTTACCTCATCCTGGGATGGGCCTGGTTCCTGCTGAACTTGTACCGAATGCACCTGTTCTGATTTCTGGAAACCCGCCTCTCGCATTGCCAGCAGCTGCTGGTCCCAAACTGATGCGTTCGGATAAACTGGAGGTATTGGTGTAGAACTATGTAAATACCTATAGGGTAGCTATTAACCTCATGCACAAAGCAACATTCTCAGAGCCCAGTGTTTTGAATGCTTTAAACAAAGGCACCTCTGGGTTTCTAGCTTATGGAGTACAACCTCGGGAAAACGGTAACGGTTTTACTACTGTAGTCGCACCCTGCTGGGAAGTGCATTGATTCGGTCGTACAACAGGTCAAACAATGTCTTAGCGCGCCCAACCGCGGACTCGCGGTGGAACCGGAAACCTGGTGGGAATGCTCCTTTTCCCCAGCCTCCCATATGACAGACTGCGATGAACTGTATTGTTAATGAGTCTCAAATTGCTAGAATAATCCAACTGGGGGATGAAAAAAAAAAAAGAAGACTAATCTAACTCTCTATGAATGCAGAATGTGAAACGAGTATCATAGAATCTAAACTTTCTTTTTCTCCATCTTAAGAATGATGGACTAGATAATAAATACCCTCCCTGCCTATGAAAAGGCAATCTAAAAGAAACTTCAACCAGCGTTTTGATTTAAGGAAGTCCTTCCGTCTTCCCTTGTTATTCTTCATAGATTGAAAGAAATAGCTAGTCCGTTTCATATAGAGTCAAAGCCATTGGCTGACTTAAATGCCTGGCAGTGTATTGTAATAGAATCTAATTGTACACATAGCTCAGTCATGAGCCACGATTTTGCTGGGGAAAACTGCATGGTTGTGTGATAAAGACTCATCTTGGACTCGAGCAAAACAGCCCCCTCTTGCAAATTTGGCTAATTACACTTCAGGCTGTGAATTAACTGGAAGATTATTAAGTGGTTTCCCACAATACTTTTAAGCACTTTGATTTCAACGTAAGGAAAACAGACAACTTTGCTTGGGAAGGAGCAGAGTACTTTTCCCTTGGACTAGAAGTGTCTGTGTTTACACCTCACACTGAATATGGATTTACCTTATCCTTCAGCTTTTTAGATTTTTCCTAAATAGATGACAAAATCATGTAGACTACTGCTCTAGCATTTGCTGGCGAAATAAAGAAAAGCTAATCACCTTCCAGGCATCAATGTGTTGTGTGTTTTTGTTTTGTTTTAATTTAAGGTTTGCCGAGAATTCCAGCGTGGAAATTGTACCCGTGGTGAGAACGATTGTCGCTATGCTCACCCCACGGATGTTTCCATGATTGAGGCAAGTGACAATACCGTGACGATCTGCATGGATTACATCAAGGGGCGATGCACCCGGGAGAAATGCAGGTACTTTCATCCTCCTGCACACTTGCAAGCCAAACTCAGGGCAGCTCATCACCAGATGAACCATTCAGCTGCCGCCGCTATGGTAAGTAAGAAGGAACCAGGTGTTGTGGACCATTGCGGGGTAAATGATAGTGTATTCCCCAGCTTGTCGAATATCCTTGTAAGCATAATCTTGGATAGTCATGAATGGATCTTACTCTGAATAGCCAGAGTTATAAGCTGGAAAAGACAGAACCTATTTACTCTGCTTCATTCACTGAAATTTTGTCAAGATAATCGTTTCAAAAGCTTTACTAACGATTTTCGTTGACTGTGCTTTTTCCCCCATCTTTAGAGGAAGGCTAAATTATGTAATTTAAACAGGAAACTATTTTGAGTGGTTTTTGATAGCCTGACTAATCCTAATAACCTACAAAGGCAGAAAGTTACCTCTCGGCCCCGTGAGCCACCTTCATGGACACTTTGGTGTAAGGTAGGAGGTCGGGAAAAGATACACACAGCACTCCAGTGTGATGGGTTGAGAAATAGGAATTAGGATTACTTAAGTTGGTCATAGCTATCAGTAAATTTGATAAGCGACTTGCAATTTCTTTTTTGATGTGGGCCTTTCCTCATGTCATAGGGTATAATAATCCCAGTAAGGGAGCAAACCCTGAGGAAACCTCATGATCCCAAAGCCCATGACAGGAACTTGCCTCTTCCTAAACGAGATGCATTTATTTTCAAACATCCCTATTTGTGAAAAAGGTTTCCCTCACATTGAGTTGCAATCTACCTTGCTATCACTGGAACTTGACACTAATTTCATTACACAAAATAAGTCAGTCCCTATTCCATAGGAGTGGGGCTCTCGTGTCTTTTTTCTAAGGCAAATACTCCAAATTTCTCCAAACTTTTCCCAGGGAGTATAGATGGAAGGACACAGCACCAATTCTCCCCTGATCTGGAAATCAGTCTGTTGATGAATTTTAAAAAGACTTCATCAAGTGGTTTTGGTCTTAAATTCTCTTGAATGAAGGGATTTTTTAAGCTACGGAAATAGCAAGGTCTCCAAAATGTTCAGTGCAGATTTTAAACCTCCAATTCTTTGATCACTTCTGTTGGTGGCATAGAGTTTAGGAGCAGTGTGGGTCTACAATAGAGAGAAGGAATACAGTAGGCCCCCTAAAAAGAAAGGTTCTCATATGCCTGAGACGTACAAGGAATGGCTTGCTTATGCCATTGAATACCTGTTCCGTGCTCAGTCATGGGGCCTTCATATGTATGTGTCCATTTCTCATGACTTGGCTGTATTTGGTAGAAGACATTATAAGTCAGCCCCAAATTTCCACGTAGAGAGTTAACTATTTGTTATCTGGTAGGCCTTTATTTGGTACTTGTGAATATCAATATAGAATTCCTTTCTGAGTAACTGATCAGAGCAGAATCTTAGCAGGAAGGTCAGATTGGCCACCAGAATTGGTTCGAGGTAAGATCAAATAAAGGAGGCTTCTTGAAGAAATGTGAGCTTTCTGGAATACTACTCAGCCATCAAAAAAAAATGAAATCTTGCCATTTGCAACGACATGGACGGAACTAGAGGGTATTATGCTAAGCGAAATGAGTCAGTCAGAGAAAGACAATTATCATATGATCTCACTCATATGTGGAATTTAAGAAACAAAACAGGATCATAGGGGAAGAGAGGAAAAAATAAAACAAGACAAAATCAGAGAGGGAGACAAACCATTAGAGACTGTTAACTCTAGAAAACAAACTGAGGGTTGCTGGAGGGGAGGAACCTGGAGGGATGGGCTAACTGGGTGATGGACATTAAGGAGGGCACGCGATGGAATGAGCCCTCCTTATATAAGACTGATGAATCCCTGACCTCTGCCTCTGAAACCAATAATACATTATATGTTAATTAATTGAATTTAAAGTTTAAAAATAAATTTAAAAAATAAATAAAAGAAGCTAGGCATAAAAAAGAAAGAAATGTAAGCTTTCTGTATTTTTAAAGATTCAGAGCTGAAATGCTTCGTAAAAAAGAGTTGTTGGTTTGTTTTTTTTAACCTTCTTCGTTTTCATGTGCGTAGCTCAGCTTGACTTCACTGAAAGCAGTTTGTATGCATTTAAAAGCAAAAGACGCGAAGGGTAAATATTTAGTTCCCAAAGGACAATAGAGATAACTTTAGACTTTGTGATCCACAGGATAAAAGATGTCATGGCTTGCCCCCTTTGTGGCATGTGGAATGCTAGTCACTCAACACAAGTGTTCCTGTCTCCTTAAGAGTTTGGAGCATGCCTAATTCTTGTCACTGGGACATGTTTTTTAGGTCACATGTAATTTGCTGACCAAAAAAAGTAAAAAGTCATGTCAAACTTCTCCAGTGAATCTGATCCAGGAGCAAATTTGAGTATTATAAGCACAGTGGGATTTTGAAAGAAGTGTAGACATGAAAGAAGGATTTTAAATTCTAATGCATTTTAGAATTAAACCTGACAAGGACTTAATGAAGCCAGTGATACATCCTGAAATGCACAGCGAGCACCTGTAAATGAGAATTGCACGCATTTTGCTCTCTACGTTATCTGGGTGAGGCGGGTGGTGGGGAAGAAAAGAATTTGCTTTTCCCTCACATGTTAGTTGGGAGAAGCACAGTTATGGATGTGGACCTGAAGTCCTTCTAGAATTTAGATTTTGTTTTATGGCGCTACAGTACCAGACTCTGACCTCCCGACATCTGTTTTATCACCATCACCATTGATCTCCTAGATCCATGTTGGAATTTTAGCTGGCCAAAATCCCTTTCCTGCTCTATCTGTTGCTTCTGCTCATCTCATTGTAATAGATTCATGGATGAACATCCCCGAGATGTTAATTTTAAATGATTATTTGCTGTTAAGCTTGAGGTCACATCTTGCTCAAGTGAGAAGGCCCCTTTTTATTGGCCTAGATGAGTGAAGTTGAAAATCAGGGTTTTTTTTCCCTGTATGTGTATTTCCCGTTTGGGATTAAGTACTCATCTAGTCAGTTGCTCAGTGGATAGGCTGCCCTGGTGAAGGGCTCCCGGGCCACACTTTATCTAACTGCTGCTTGCTTGCTTTGAGTACATTTTTTACTTTCTCTGGTGCTATTTATTAATCCCTCCCTCCCTCACAGGCCCGCCAGCCTGGTATGCTTCAACTGATACCAAAGAGATCGGCACTTGAAAAGACCAATGGTGCCACTCCGGTCTTTAACCCCGGCGTTTTCCACTGCCAGCAGGCTCTGGCTAACCTGCAGCTCCCACAGCCGGCATTTATCCCTGCAGGTGAGAACAGGGCTCTGTGTGAGTCTAGCCATGTTGTGAATGTGTACAGAGCACACCAGCTGCCAAAGAGCTTTAATGAAGCACTGCGGACAGGTGTTTGGGTTGGAAATAAAACAAGGCCGTTAGACTTGCTCTGCCAGTCTATCGGACCAAATGTCTCTATGATGCCTTAAAAGTAATGGTTTGAAATCAAACGAGGAAAAACTGTTGACATTTTTCTTTTTAGCATTTCTTAGTTTTTGCTTCTGATGATTGTTTCACTTGATTCAGTCTCAAACTAATTCCTTGACTCTTAGGTATCCCTTGAAAAGACACTGGTCACCCCTCAAAAAAAAAATGTTTCCCAGCTTCAGCATTGCAAAAATACGTAATCTGTATATCTTTGATATGCCAAAGATAGTTATAATAAACCTACCCGTGAACTTACAGTGTAGTTATAAGACAGTATAGTGTGTGTGTGTGTGTGTGTGTGTGTGTGTGTGTGTGTGTGTATATATCTCACATACTTTTAGCCTTTAACTCTTGTACCGGTTAATATAAAAACTAGAGCAGTTTATCATATTTTCCTGATACTATGCAGGATATTTTGTTACCTTCTCCATTCACACGTATATAATACCATAACAGTTTTGTACCAAACTGAATAGAAAATTTTGTTCAAATAAATATCACATATGAGGAGAAATACTTTTCTTCCTCTGGTTCAGTACTTTAAGAATGAGCATATAGTCTCTTAGGAATAAATTGAAAATACTAACCACTGGGAGTACAGTAGTTTTTGTTTTTTGTTTTTTGTTTGTTTGTTTGTTTGTTTTACCAGAATCATAAATGCCCCAGTTTGGAAACTATTATTAAATGAAAGTGCTATGCTTTAAAATTAGTTTAGAGTACCTTATTGACTATATAAACGTACTAAACACATGGTCTTATACACCTACACTTGAAAACACCCATTGGTTAATTGATAAATTAATCAGCTAATTAATTTAGAAAGAAGCCATAGAAAACCAATCTTTAACCACAGTAGTTCTTTATTTAAAAAAACAGAATTTTTACAATTTTTAGACTTTTTTTGGCTGGATATGGCTAATTTAAAGTCTAGATTTAGGAGCGAAATGTCAGAAGAATCCCTTTCCCCCTAATTAATAGCAAAATTAAAACCTGTTGGACTGAGCACCCCCTCTTGATGAAAAACCTATTTGCTCTGTGTTCATAGTCAAGTTCACCATTATGAGGTGGATGAGGCTGTGGTAATAGGTGTCCAAAATAAAAATGCAATTTAAGCAAGGTAATTCCTTTAAAGAAAAAATTAATGTGCCCTGACTCTTTCCAAATGCTCCTTCCTCCCAAGCTGGTGGCCCATGAACCACATCATCAAAATTAATGTTCGTTTTTATACCTAAGAATCCAAGAATTACTTTGATTACCTGGGTTGGGGAGCTTAAAACTAAGCTGTAATTGTGAGCATGGGAGTTTACTGGTTTTGCATGTGCTCATTAATTAATATTGCAAAGAATATCTTTCTAGTTAAAAATGATTTCTCTCCGTAAAGATTTAATAATGAAATCTCTCTCCTTTACTTTTCACGCTTTTCTGCATGGTGTACAGGGCCAATACTGTGCATGGCACCCGCTTCAAGTATTGGTAGGTTTTGTACAAACATTCTCAACTTTTTCTAATCCGAAAATAAGTGTTTTTCTGTCATGACTGTGAAAGAGATGAGTGACTGGGTGATGTGGTTCATGGGCCACCAGCTTGGGAGGAAGGGGCATTTGGAAAGAGTCAGGGCACAAAGAAGAGAGAAAGCAGGCAAGGTAAAGAAGCTTGGAAGTGGTATTGTGGCCTGCCTTTGCTCTGTGGAAGGCTGAGCATATTTATGACAAAAGTTGCAAGAAGGTACTTAACTTCTCACTGCAGTTTCACCACTGTGGCTACCAGACCTTTCCCTCTCCTACAATTATAATGCAGCTATACCATGATTGGAATAATTTATATGTACAGATATCCTAGAAAACAAGTTGCATCACTAAGTGTAAGCAGGTTAGGGTACTTCGTCCCCAGGAGGAAGAAAATAAGAGAATTCTGCACTTTTGTATTTTAGAGCTGATATTTTGAGCACTCTTTGGACATTTTCTGAAGAGTGAAGATTTAATAGGGTGCTGTCTGTTTCACATCTCTGTCATTGCGGAATGACAACAGTGCTACACTCTTGAGTCCTAGGTGATCACCACTGGGGCCAAATACTGACCCTGCCATTTCTCTGCTTTCATCCTAAAAATTGCAGCTGAACTATTTTGAAACATTTCCTTAGCCAGCCAGAATGGGCAGTTGTCTTCTCAGCTTCACACCTGGGGCTTTCTAACGTGTAGGTCGTCAAGTATAACAAAACCGTTCTTGCCCCCCCTCCCCCCACCAAAGTTACCCACAAGATCTAAATCACTCTATGTTGACAAGGGATGAGTTAGGCAAAGCTAGAGCCTTCTGTAGTGTCCTGGGAGGAAATGCCAGGAGCATGGGAACCAGGCAGAACAGAGTCCTTTCAGAATGACTCTTTGGGGATATGTGATTCTTAACAATCACTTACCCGCAAATCCTTCAATCAGTCACCAGTACAATCTGGTAGCCATCTCAAGACCATTTTGACATCACTAACATTGAAGAAGACAAGAAAGTGACTTGTTTCCATGGTAGGAGTTCTCAGTTCCTCCAGTCCGTGGGCACAGACCAGGGGAAAATAGCTCCATTTGATACAGGGAGGAATTGTCCCACCGCACACCCCACCATGTCCTATCAGTCCAGTGCTTTTCATCCTTTTTGAGAGTTTGCCATAGCCTGACCTCCGTCCTACTGGTTGACCAGAGGAGATGCAGAACCCAAAAGGGACAAACAGGTTTATTGAAATAAAACAAAAGGTCAAAATGACACACAGTAGTAGCACTCACGAACATAGCAGGGGGTGACCCCTGGCCTCGGAGGTGGGGCCTCCGTTATGGAGGGATCGGCTGTCCCCTGTAGGAAGTAAAACATGTCCACTGATACTAACAGGAGCATCACACGCGTATGATTAGAACAGACTTCTGCAAGTTGGTGAAATGTGTAGGAATGCAAACTGCATGCAAGAGTGTTCTTAGAATCGGCAAGTGATACACTGAGGGACGTCTGTAGGTAACAGGTTACTGGAGATACGCTTAAGGGGTAACTACAGGATTTCTGTTAATCACCACTTGGGGTACATTTGTGGTTTCTGTGACATTGTGTATATTGATTTTCCTTTCTCCAGGCCATTTACTTTCTCTGTAGACTTTCAGAAAATCTGAATTCAATGGATGTAGACATAAATTATTATATATGCACACTCGCCATTCACGCCATACCATTCACACATTAATTCCTTAGTTTGCTTTCCAAAATGAGCTAGAAATGAGAAAAAGCATGCCGAAAGCTTTTAAAATGAGACAGAAACTAGAAAAGGCAAAAAGAGAACATCCCGAAAGAGACGTGACAGCTGCTAACCCTATAGTCGTCACTTTAATAATTGCGATGAAGACAAGATTTTGTCGGGTGTTTACTAGGAAGCCCCCCATGTGTTTGTTTGACAGACAGCGTAGATTTCCAAGGGATTTGCCAGAGATGTACTTAAAAACCTGCATGCACAGTCCACTGTATTTATCTGCTCCCCCACCATGTACCCACCAATCGAACTGCCTTTTTTTTTCCCCCGCATGTAGATCAGGTAAGTATACCTGTAACTGTCTCTGTGCACCTGCCAAGCTAGTGACGATCCTCAGGTCTCTCAGTTAGCGAACCCAAGCCCCAATTCACACTTCCCCACTCACATTTCAACTGTGCATCCCAGTCACCTGCTCGACGAGGCATTCCAATAGGTAGCCTTGGTAAAATCAGCTTTTGTTCTATGCGCTCATCGTAGCCCCTTCCGAAAATTCGGCCTTTTAAGTCAACTGTGTAATGGGATTCTGCTGAACAACTAGCTGTTGAGAGTGATGCTGTTTTCCTTAATGGTAACTATAATGGGCTTTCCCCTTTTCTCTTTTTAAATTTTTTCCCCCTTCCACGCTGTGTTGCTTTGCGCTGTGATTGCATGTTGTACCCCGGTGTGTCCATTATGATGATGTCCCATGGCTTCTTGCTGTGCTACCTACCGCGCCCCGTCCCATCGTTTTCTGTCATGGTTGTGTAAATTCTCCACCCTCCCGTGTGTTGCTTCCGTGGTTGCCTACTGAAAGTGCCCATGATGCACGGCGCAGCTCCCACCACTGTGTCTGCAGCACCAACACCTGCCACCAGCGTCCCCTTCGCTGCAACAGCTACAGGCAATCAGGTTTGGCCATTTATTTTACCTGTTCAGACCAGAGAACTACCGTGTGTTGCTAAGGCACAGTATATGCCTTTGGGATTGGCGAGAGACACTGAGCCGTACTCCTGGGTGTTTCTTAAGCAGTCGTCACGCTTAGAATTTTTGTTCTTGTGTATCTTCTGGACGGGTGTACCTGCCACCCATCCTGGGGTGAATCGGCAGTTTTCTCAGTTTCGGTTGGTTCCCGGAGGTCGCTCTTCCTATGCTATCTTCACGATTGCTGCTGTCACACCAATCCTCAAACACATATACTGAGTACTCCGTAAATGCTTCCTCATTGGTCAAGAGAAGAATCTATTTTATTTTACTACCATTGTTTCAGTTATTGCGTTTGAACTTGCCCTTGGTACTATCATCACCTTTTACCTTCAGATCTGCTGGAAAGAAAGCCAAACAGCACACTTCTTTCCAGGGCACAGATATCCTTATCATTAGCCCGTGATGACATCAGCGCTGTCACACTGACACTCCAACACTCGGTGACACTCAGTGATGACATCAGAGATCTCACACGGACCTTAGATGTGCCTGTGTTGTTGTGATTTTCATTTGCTTTAGGTATTTGCAGGCGGAGTCCCAAGACAGATTTTAAATTGGGGGAGAGTCTCGAAATTGTCATGAGCTACATACAACAATCATCGTGTAACATGAGGGCTGTTTTGCCTTACTGAGTGGTAACCATGCTTCAAGCCTGCACATTCCACAGCTGCTTCAATTACAAGTGATAACCACACAGCACACAGAGCATTAATCCACTGGGGGAATAAGCCACATTCTAATCTGTGCTTTGCAAAATTAACCATTAGTGGATATGGTTAATATGTCTCGATTTTTCTGTGAAATTGATTATGCTTTTTAATTGCCATTTCCAAACAGTGAACAAAATAAATGGGATTCTCTCAAGAAACTATTTTAATCTAAAATCTTTTTCACTACTATAGATACCCCCATTATCAATAGATGAACTGAATAGCAGCATGTTTGTTTCACAGATGTAGAAGTTACCAGTAGAACAGTAAGTTTCTTTAAGTATTAATATGAATAATATTTATAGATATCTTTTATATTTACACAATTGCATTTGCTAAAGGCTTTGGTAAATATTTTCATTAATAGGCATTGCTTATAATGTAGAGCTTGAGTTAAGCATTCCAAATTTTCCAAATTGAAATGTGGAGAGCAAATATGCAATTTTTTCTATGAAAAAAATGACAGCCAGTACTGTGTTTTCCCAATGAGCTTACAAATTCTGAAATGTTTTCCTGTTAGGAGTGTGAGTTGTCAGCCCAAGGCACAGATCACTTTTGAATATTAATTCTTTAACACTTTTGTAGCTTCGTTTTTTTGTTGTTGAAGTAAAGCAAAGTAATTTTGTCACAGTCTGACTACAATGAATATCATAAAGACAGTCAGCAATATACTTCTCCCGTGATGTCGTAAAAGATCGTGCTTTTTACACTCTGCCATTTTGTGTTGCTTTCCATGTAAGTCTATCAGAATTGCTCCAGCTGTTTTGAATTTTGAGTGATATAATTTAGTAACATAGTCATTATTTTTGTTCAAATCATGGCTTTTTAAGAAAAAAACTTGTTGTTGGACTCCCATTACCCCACCCCCCACCCCTTTGATCTCCCGTTTGCCCCATCCAGAGCCAGGCATAGCACACACTTAATTTGAGGAGTCCTTCACTTGGAAAATGTGACTTTTCAAGCCACTTAAGATTCCAGAGTATCTTAATTAATTACTGATAGGGACTTATTAATAACAAGTGTACGAATTCTGAATTGCATATATTAGTAAGTGAAAGTTTGAGGTTCTCACGCCTGGAGTGTTTCATTTAATTGTTCTGTTCTCTTGGAGAAATAGTTCCCCAGAACCTGGCCCAGAACACGAACTCTGTCCTGGACCGAGCCTATGGCTTGACTGCACATTAGACCATTAGACAAACAAGTCCCTTTGATCATAAGGAATGTTTTACAGAGACACCTTTGAGTACGTGGAATAACGGAAGAAGCTGTAAATTGTAATTGTTTTCAGGTGAATCATTTGGGATGGTAGCAACTTGGGACTAGCATCAAACATGAGAATATAGGTTTTGCAAACACCTGCCTGATTCTCATGGGCTGCTTTACAATAAAGTAAACAAAAGTTGTCAAATATAATGACGAGCTTTCCAACAGCACATGTTTGAGAATCGTGATTCCTTTTTGCTAGACTCCATTAGAAAATTTAGACGTATTTGGCACACCATAATCACTTCAACGTGTGACAGATGTCGAAAATTTCTCCAAAGTTCAAAAACGTAATTTTGCAAAATGCTATATACCTAGATAGCACCTTGGCTATTTCTGCATGGCTCCAAACCATTCAAATAAAAAAAAGTTTAAAGTATGTTTCATATTTGCATATTTCAGAATGGCGGGTATCAAACAGGTTTTCCCAATATATGTTTGAAGGGAGTTGAAGGAAGTGGAGAGATGGGTGGCTGTTCATCCACACGTTCAGGCATTGTGTGGATGAAACCTTAAATGATCACCTTAGGGCAGTTCTGTGCACTAGGACTCAGTGAGGCCATGAACTGTCATGCCATATGACTGTGACCCTTCCCAACAGCCCCATTTTCACAGGTGTAGGATATGAAACTCAGAGTGGGGAATATATTGACAGTTCGCATACAGAACTGACGTAAGAACCAAGTATCCCGACTCCTGCTTCAATAACCCCTTAATATTTCTCACTCTTTCTCTCTCTCTCTCTTTTTTTTTTTTTTCCGTTTCAGTTGAAATTCTGAACAACAGAGTTACGGAGTATCAAGATCTCTCCATGAGAACCTCCATATGGCCTTTCCATATATATTTTCGTAGGTCCTCTTCTACCAATGCTACGATAAGTGTGGTGCGGTCAATATATTAAACCAAACGCATATACCAACCAACAGATTCAAACAAAACCAATAAAGCATTAAACGGTCAGTGGAGATGTTAAAACAAAACATACATAGAAAATGAGTAACTAACATTTATCTTATTTGAATTAGTAGGTAGAACACGACCGTAAAGTTTTGTAGTTTGTTACATTATTCTTTGTGATTTTCCAATAACCATTATGCTGAGTGAATCTCCACAGTGGACTGTTGGCTTACTGTGCATTCTTGGTGGGTAAATGTTCATCTGTTTTAAAGTGTTACCTTACTGTTTTGTTTACACAATAGTCTTTTGGGTTGATTTAGAATGTAACAAATGTATCCAGTACCATTTGCCTCACTATTATTGTATTGTGGTGTGGTGTGTTGTGTTAGATTTTGACATACTATAGTGTTTTCCTCTAGATGTGTGGTGTTTGATTTCAACTAGAATATTACTAATGGGAAACAGAAATATCTGTGTTCGAAAAACATAACAGATTAATGTTAACATGCTTTCTCTCTCTTTAGAACATTTCTGTAGGTTTCTTGGGGCAGACATTCATTATAAACATGCATGTGTATAATTTGTACCTGCGGATCTGACCTTGCATAATACAATCACATGACTAGGTTTTTTTGAGAGGAGAGAGAAATAATTACCTGCAAAAAACAGGGAACTTCTGAAAATATGAACCCCTAATCTCACTCCTCAAAAAGCTTGCAAAATTACAATTTACCTTTAAAGGTAAATTTCTCAGCATTTATGTGAAGTGCCCATTACGTTTCTTGTGGTTCAAGGATCCTGTCTCCTAGGTTGAGCCATTTGTCAACTTCAGCTGAAGGCTGGTACCTGGAGGCTTAAAGATATGTTAATTGTAGGTTATAAATTAAACGGAGGCGAGGACATGGAGATAGTTTTTCCGTTTTATGAGGAAAGTGTGTGAAAACCTTTTCCACAAGTGCCATTCTCTGGATGAATATGGCACCTGCTTTTTAGACCCCTCTTTGAATAATAAGAGGCAATCTTGCAAAAGTCAGGGTGAAAGAGAAGTGGTTCTGAGTGAGGTCTTTCCTCCCCAAATGGATAGCCTTCTCCGTTGATCACAGTTGGAGTATGAGTATAGGTTTGGGGAAACCGTGGGGGTGAGGAGGAGGGTAGGAAGACATTTCAAGTGAGTCTCTGATTCACTTACAACTGCTAGGAAGGCTGTCCACCGTTGTCTTTAGCTTCAGTTCACCCAAATTTCCAGTCCTGTTGAACACTTCAGTGAAGGAGCCAACATCTGTGTCAAGTTGCCTTTCCCAGACTTTATTAACAGCAGAATCATATCATAACCAAGCCTTTTTTTGTTTCCTCGTTTAGATTTGTTTGTTTTTATATGTATTTGAAAATTGTAATAGAGAGGTTCTCAGCACCCTTTGGATGAGACAGACCAGCTACACTCCATGGAGCTGAGCTGAATTCACGTTACTAATCCTCGTGACATAATTGTATAACCAAGTAAAACAGTAGTTCATATGGTAGGTGACATTACCTCCTCCACTGTACTCAGTTATTAAAGTTACTATTGCTATACAGTGCTGGAACCATAAGATACTTCACATCAACCTAGGTTTAATATTTTCTACTAAATATATATTCTTTCACTAGAAAGCATACAGTCAGCAAATTTAATGTCATAGCAGGTTTGTTCTCCTTCGTGAAAATGACAAGGAAAGAGAAAATGGGATTTAGGATACCTTAAGCTGGTTAGCAGCATTTGAATCATAGAACAATGGAGTTGGCACAACCTTCTCACAAGGGATGAAACTGGGGCCCGGGGCACATGACCTGCCCATGGCTACCTACCTAATCGGTGGCAGTCAGACCCAAAAAAACCTCCGGACTTTCGGTTGTTCCTCTGTTTCGCACCGTTTGTGCTTCGGCACATTCGCGACTCCCTCCCAAAGCAGATCCATTCCACTCAGAATACAAAAGGGCAAAATTAGCTGTGCGGGAGTTGATATCCTATTGTTCTTAATGATCAAGCCCGAATCACGATCATCAGTAATTTCTAAAGGGTCTTGCTTGCATCAAGACCCTGTCATCTATTAACAGTATTGCCCGGCGTTAGAGAACAAGACGCGTCCAGACTTTTGCCTGTTGACTCCATGAACCACTTAATTTCTGTTTCCCAAAATCTTAACGTTGTTAGAGAAGAAAGTAGAGTACACCTTTGTGAAATAACTTGTGTATAGAACCCGTGCTGGCGCCTCTCCAGAAAGGCAGAGCTAGTCACACAAACCCAGGAAGGATGCACCTGAGCTAGTCTGGGGTCTTCCTTAAAGGGGCTAGAGATGTCTTCAGTGCGAAATGAACTCTTTTGTGTAGTTTGACGTTTTGATACAACGTATACTGTCTCATTTAACCTTTTAAACTTCTGACGAAGATGTACATAGACAAGCAGCCTAGTGTACAGTGGTTTTTATGATGCTGAGAGCACTGGAAGACATCCGTGATGACTTATTTTTCAGTAGGAGGTTCAGTGAAGGATATTCAGGGTAGTTGCAGTGTGGGTGCCACAATATTTGATATGGCTGGCATTCTAAAAGTTACTTTGTAAGTGAATTTAGAAGAAAGACGATTCAAAGCACTCAAGTTTTGATCAGATGCAAAAGAACGTTGACAAAAATGCAATTGTAAGATAGCACTCTTTAAACTAGTTGTGCAATGACTTATGCTGATTCTCTTTGTTCAAGAAAAGAAACGAAGAAAGGAGAGTCATTAGACTATAAATTTCCAGTTAAAAAGCCAAGTCACAAAACTAATCAGTGACTCTAAACAATAATTTACTGGATGAATTGTATATATAAAATTCTAACCACTTGTGATTCTTAGTTGACTTTTTATAAGCTTTGTATTTTATAAGGGCTTCTATTCTTATTTATCCAAAATTATTGTTTTTGTCCATTTCTCTCAGCCTTTTGCAAAAATAGGCAAGAGTACTGAAACTTGGATAAAACAGGTCAGGTATACAGAGAAAATAATCTAAAAGTTATCTGTTAAGAGGGTTTTAGTAGTATCAAAAAAAAATTTTTTAAAGGCACTATGTGAACAGAAGTATATTTTAAAGAGGGATTAAGATGAAATTAAAACCAAATGGATTCATAAAATTGCTATTTAAATACAGTATTTACTTTTGCAATTGGAGCATGATTCTCTAACCAGCTGTTGCACTTCATCTCACTTGTCTAGACTAGAGTCTAATTTGTAGTTCATTGTCATGTGAAAAGTCATCTTCTCCCTCCTCCATCAACCTTTGCCATCTATTTTTGAACATGCGAAAGCACTTTGATACTGCCGTTAAGTGTTGTCCCGCACCGCGGGGCTGTGTTCACTAAGGTTCCGACTTACTTTAGTCTGTAGGGTAGGCTGTAATGCACAGAATGATTAGAAACTGGAATCCTCTTTCTTTTTGTCTCTTCTGCATTTCTACACACACTGAAATAGAAGTAGGGAAATAGGCCCTCCCAGTTGTGTTGAATAGATGTAGGAAGATAGTGGCCTCATTGTTAATTTTACCAGTGCCCGTCGAAGGCACCAGAATGAATAGTATCTAAAAGAGTATCACAACTTTTTTTGCAAACTTAGTTGATAGCGTCATCAAACTGTAGATAATAATTGCAGACATAGTTTCTGAGCACCAAGTCCCTCACTGGTGCCAGGTTTTCATTTTTCTTTTTAGTTTTTAAGGTTTTTGTTATACTACATTTTTATATCTCTAAGTCACTAACGAATTTAACTTTGCAGGAGAGTTAGAGAAAAGTTAAAGATTTTACTACATGTACTCAACCCACCTAGATAGGTTTTAAACTGACACCGAAGCATGACAAGATATAGATTATAGTCCATAAATATTCTTTACAGTTCACAGTTTAAGAATAAACTTAACTTTATATACAAATAATAATTTTTTAACTAATTATATTTAGTTGTTGCTTTAGCAACAAAACTACAACATGGCTACCTTTAGACACCTGTTTTCTTTTGTGTGATAATTTTACTCATTAACTATACATGGTTTTTGACAGTATGAGTATGTAGAAGGTACAGCTCAAAATTCAGAGAACAGATCTGGCTGAATTTTTCTTTAATCCCAAATTGCCACGCGAAAGCTGAATTTGTGTCCTTATATGACTTTTTGATCAAAAAGTTTACAACACATGGATTCTAGAGTCAGGCTTTTTAGCTTGTAGAATTTGTTGTGTGGATAGGGTTATTCCACAGTATTTCAACTTCAAAACATGATCATTGCATTTTTAATCTATTATCTGACCTTTCTTTCATAACATTACTTATTCCAAATTACTCTATGCAGGAGGCATAGCTGTCACTACAAAAATTCGCTTTTCTGGAATTATATACCCACCCCAACACATCCAAAAGAGTCTTAAAGAATGATGGACACGTATTTTGGAATGAATTCGTATTTGTAAAACCATACATAAAGATACTGTGGAATGACCCCTTAACAGTGTTTGAGAGACATATGCTGCAGTAAACTGATGGTCTCAGTTAGGGTGCGACTGTGTGAGACACACCTTTTTTGCACTTATGTACATAGTCCGTGAACGCTATGCTTGGAACTTTTGTTTTTTAAATATAAGAAATCTGTGATAATAGCAAAAAAGTAAGATAGAGTTATTTCTAAGGCCTTGAGAAGGAGGGGGGGTTTTGCTAGAAGACTTAACTAAAGCACGATGTTGCTTTGCTGTTGGGGAGGCTTTCTGGTTTGCTATAGTTCACCAAAAGAAAAGACTGGTAACAGGTAACAGGTCACCTTCCGCTAACAGCACTGACCTGACCAAGAGCGAGAAAGTCCTTTCATCTTTTACAGTAGCAAAGATTATTGGCTTTTTAGATTAATCTCCATTGTAAACACACACACACACACACACACACACACACACACACACACACACACACACACACACACTAGGCAGGTTTCTGGCAAAGGTCTTCCTTTTCCAATGGTTGCAAGCAGTGAAGTACCCTGTAGGCTGCAAGATGGATAGATCCATTTTGATCAACTTAGATTTCATCTTTCCCAGAAAATTACTGATGGAGAGGTATCCGTTCCATCAATTAATATCCACTTAAGTGACAATCAAAGTGTTAACGTTCACCACTACTTCTCCTTTAAAATTCAGATCCCAAAACCCAACTGGCAACCACTGAAAGACTTCATTTTACAGCTAAGTATGGCCGGCACAGGCATTTCGTTCCCTCCAATGAAAGGGAAAAAAAAAATGCCTCTGGCACAACTTTATAAATGGCTTTAAACTTACCTTATACCTGTTCAGTGGAAGCTGTTCTCTGACTCGCCTTTACCAGATTAGAAAGTGCTTCATGGTGCCATACAGCCTCCCACTGTTTTAGCTAAACAGAAGAGAACCAGCCCAGATCTCACATATGTAGCAGCTGCAATCAGACCATCTCGGTCCATTTCCCTACCTCCCATTCCCCCATCTAACATTTTGTTGCCTCCAGGCAATGGGGTTAGAAAGGTGTGAGGATAGATCACCATGGGTATTTTGGGTCCTTCCCCTGCCTTGGAGAAGGAACCCATCCTGGGATCGGGGGGCTGGTATTAGTATTGCTACCCATCTTGCTGGTTCTCCCTTACAGAGAGAGGGAAACAAGCCAAAGCCAGACAGCAATCCAAGCCTTACAGTTGTCCAATAGCTCAGGGCCAGTTGGTTAGAAATTTCTCTCTTTCCCCCCGCCCCACCCCTTCAGCCCTTAATCACGTAGAGTCAGCTCTACAACTATCAGCCTGACCATCTGATACACTGGTACAAAATGTAAGCATTCATGCATTCTGTAGTTAGGGACTCCAACTTCCACCTCATCGCCAACCTGTTTTCCCAACTTACCCTGTGTTCTTGTGTTGACATTTCCCGGTGGAGCTATAAGCAACAAGAATATATTTTCATAAGGTCAAGAGAAATATACAATTTTAAGTGAAGAAGAATCATTTATAAAATAGTAAGAAGGAACCTAGAAGCATCACAAAAGATAACCAATTAATTGATGGCATATTGCCCATGCTGACCGCCATTGGGTCACACTCTTTGGAGCTGAAACACAGGGGCTGTGTTTCAGTGAGTCAGATTAGAGAAGGAAACATAACAAAATGTGAATGACTTGAGGCCCAAAAGGGACCTCTGCCATTAAACCCAGGAAAGGGCTTAGTTTGACTAGTTCATGCAGTTTCTAGCCCCTCCACTTGGCCTTGCCTGGGAAAGAACCACCCGTTAATACTCCAAAGCAGGATGATTCCAGAGAAATTTTATCTTTAAATAGAACCCAGCCTCAATAATAGTAGACCAAAAAGGGAAAAAAATCTATCATTTGAAGTCCCAACTCTTTGAAGGTATTGCAAAAATTCTCACTAGTCACCTTCTACATCATATTAATTTTTTTTAAAAGTACCTCTGTAACAAGACCTAAATAAAAGTAACCCCACTTTAGGCCATGCTCTTTTCCCCAAAAACACACAACCTAAAGATTTATCTGTCATAGAAGTGCATGGTTGCGAAGCTTTATTTCTGTATACAGATGCTCTCTGTTCATGATGGAAACCAAATTACTCTGTTGCTATGCCTTTTGTGTCTAGCAGTTGAGAGGATGATACGACCGCCGTACTGCTGGGTACTGGGGTTGCCCTTTTCAAAATAAATTTCCTTTTATTATTGTTGCTGCTTCAATTATTAGCAAATGAACCATTTGTTATCATACCCCCAAATTACAATCGTTTAAATTTTAAGAAAAGATGTTCCTAAATGCACTCTTTTTTTCTTTTTTTAAGGGCTGACTGTGCGTTTATATAACAACAGTCCAGTATAATGTAGAAAATGAAGCACAAATTTGGGACAAAAGAATGTCAATTTAAAAATACCTGTAGATAAGAAAATTATTAGCCATGCGCAACAATTATAGATTTAAATAATGACCATGATATTTCCCAGATGAAAACTCCTCCCATCATATTTTGCCTCCAAAATGCCATAGTTCATTCCCTCAACTGCTATCAATAGGGTAGATGCTTTGATTTTTTTTCCATTTTTCCCCCCAAGTTATAGCGCTGTACTGCTTGTTTGTGTTTAGAAGTGTGCGTTATGTAAGTCATCTTAGTATGCTACTTCTATGTTTATTTTTTGGTTCTTTTAATAAAATGCATAAATTTCATGGTTCTGTCTTTTTTTATGAATCCATATTCACACATTAGGAGTTTACTTAAAAGCTATTCCTGTTCTAGTATATTAATCCTAATATTCAGTATTATGAATTATATAGATAATACACTCATTGCATTAGATGTATTATTTCTCTGATATTGAAGTTACTAACACAAGAAAGGCACATTTGTGTGTTAGTGAAAAAAAAAAACTAAATATTTTGAGATACTGCTTACTGGCTTCTATCGTGCTTCAGAAATTCTGAGGCATTTCCTAAGATACATTATTAGAAGTTCATATTTTCCAGTTACTCGTTTCTATCTTGCATCTTCAGTGGAACACATGAAACCAGTGTTGTTCATTCTGTTGTTTTTTTTTCAAGATGGGCACCAACAGTTTCATAACAATGAGATGCATGAATTTTTCCATCAATATTGAGCCAGAGGGAGGTTGACCCACAGGCAAAACTGAACGTACACTGTTTACCTTGGCACTTTTCAACCTCTGTCAGCAGCCTTCTAAGAGCCTCCTTTTGTCAGCCCCCACGGTAGCCTCTGGCTCTCTAGAAGTTCCACGGTAGCAACTTATCAGGCCCACTCACCCAGACAGATCTGGAATTTTTTTCCTTCAGAACTTCCCCGTTGGGCATCTCAGGCTATGAAGAGCAGCTCAGAGCTGAGATCTCAGAGACCAATCACACCACGTTGTTAGACTGGCAGTGTTTATGGACTGCCCCCTGGGAGTGTTTGTATTTGAAAAGGCATGACTCCTGAGGCCCTCCAGGTCTCAGCCGGTAGAGCTCCGCGACACTCGACCTCAGGGTTCCGAGTTCAAGTCCCACGTGGGGTGTAGCGTTTACTTAAACAATAAATCGATAAAAAGTAAAAAGGCATGAGTCTCCAGTGGCCAAATACCAGAAGGCCACATGCCTAGATGAGAGATATATGTTTTTTTTGGTGGAACAAACAGCATTTAGGCAGTGATCACATTCCTGGGGACAAGTGGTACGGTCATTCACCACCTCAAGAAGGCCCTAAAGGAAGGCTCTTGTAATTTTGTTATTGTCGGGAAAGTTCTGATCTAATAATGAACCTAAAATACTGACTAGATGGTAAACGTTCCAAAATGCCACAGGCCAGAATGCACTCACGTGGTCAGTATCTGTGGTAAAGAGCATGACGCGGGATAGGCCTGATGCATGATCACATTTCTCGAGGAGTCTGATGCCCACACTTGCTGATATTCCACAGAGGGACACACATACTCAGATGGTTTCTTTACTCTTTCTTGTACTGGCCGTGCTCATTGAGCTGAGCCCTCCCAGATTTTCTTTTCAGCGCCCGGACTTAACGCTTTTCCCTTGGGCAGGAGGACAGTGGGTACATGGGGAACAAAATAAGAGCCGAGAGCTCCAGTGATAGCAAGGACAGCCACCTGGATGGAAGGGTGAAGTTTGTGAGAGGAACAGCAGGTCTGATCCCTGTCCTTACAAACAGATGCCTAAAGCAAAAGCACAGCATTCCAAAGTGGAAATCGGAATAAGAAGAAAGTTCTGGTCAGCGTAGCGGGCATTTTTGTGTTGTGCGTGGAAATGGCGTGCGGTGCAGAGTCAGGCAGAGCACCTGGGGCAAAGCAGAACAGATGCAAGAAAAATCGTATGTTTTTCCCGATGAGAATGAGGGAGGTTCCCCCCCAATGAATGATTCAGCGCATTGCATGTATGTACAGGCGCAAAGAGGGGGGTGGGTGAAAAAGCACAGGGTAACAGTGTGCCCACAGCAACAAGCAGTGGCGACCAGCACCGGTTAAAGCAGACAGCCTGGTCATTGTCAACAGGACCGGAGAGAGTGCCAAAGGAATCTGAGGAGTCTCTGCAGTCAGCACGCTTCTAGAGATGCAATGGCCACAGAAAGTGATGGTCAGCTCATTGAGGGTCAATGTCGGTCTTAAGGGGAGGGTGGGGAAGAACAGGAGCAGGACCGAGACTTTGCCTTTAGCCTTCGGACCTGAAGAGTTGAACAAGTCTTTCCTGGGGAAATTGGCAATTAAGAGAGAAACATATCTGTGTTAATTATATATGGGGGGGGAGGGAGGGAGAGAGAGAGAGTGGTTATTGATGTGCCTTTGTTAACTATTTAATAAACGTGTAACTCATTCAACGTGTTTTGGTTCTTGTCAATTTCTATTTCCAACGTCCCATGTTAAAGAAATCTGTTGATGGGTTGTTGTAGTAGGAAAAGCTGAACTCACATGAATCCAGGCATTCGTTGGTCACAATTTGGGGCCCCAGGCAGGGGCTGCTAATAAAGGCGGCTTTTGTGCCTCACTAAATCTCAAGCGAGTGTTCACCGTAAACTGAGCACCAGCCAGTGGTAGAGACCACTGTAATAAGCAACTCCCTTCTCCTGAAAGACACTGTCAGAGATCTCGTAGATCCTGAAGATGCTTGGGACCTCCAGAGTCATTGGGATGAGATTGTGGGGCCCAAGGGGCACTCGGACCATTCAGGAAAAGTGGCTCAGGAGGGCCAGACAGGCAGCCACAACCACGGCTTTTGTCCCCTACTCTCCACAGCCTGGAGAGATGCCCCTGTGGTAAAAATCGACATACACAGGTCCAGATACTGTTACGGGGCTTAGGGAAAGGTCAATCCAAGAATAACCTTTGAGTGATAACAGACTAAGAAAACCTTTACATAGTATTTTAAGATTATTATCTAGCCCACAGTTAGTTCTATGCCACCTGACCCTTCTCCCTCTCAATCCACCCTCCACATTACTACTGGGGTCATTTTTCTACGACGGGAAAATTCATTATCTCTCTTCCCTGACTATAAATCTCCCAGATGTCTTCACTGCCTTATGGGATAAATCCTACACTCAAACACAGCAATCTTCTGTGCTCAGGCCTTAGGCTTGCCCTCAAGCGTTCTCTTTCCCCCCTGCCTTCTGTAACCTGTACAACTCCAAAGAAACCAATCCACTGTTGGGGAAATATAATTAAGAACAAGACCTCCCAAACCCAAAGTCCCCTCCACAAAGGTAGTAGTGAGAGAAAACACTTCTGTTATTGAATGAACGTTAAACCAAAAGGGACGCACGCCATCGGCAAACCACTAAGAAATTGCAAAGGCAGAAAGGAATCACTCCCTTGTATGGCCAAGTGCATGGAACCCATTACATACATGTTTACAAGATAAACAATAACTGGTCCTCAAGTAAGAGGTTTTGACGGCACCTTTTGTCATTCATAGTTCATCCTAACTGTATCCGTAACTGAGGAGACCACCTGTGTTGACTTTATCCGTAGGAGAAATAAACTTTTCATATCTTTACCTCCAAGAGATAGTTTTGCAAATTGGAGCAAGGCGCCCAGGGAAGTCAGGATGTGACCCTCCTAAGGAACAGAGATCTGGGGCTCCATAGCCCTTGATGTTTGCATTTCAAAGAGGGGGCACCCAGGTCCCTGAGGAAAGGTGGAGGGTGACTTGTTTAGTCACTACTGAGATTTACGTACACTTGACAAGGACAGAGGAAGAAATTTTGTCAGAAAAGGGAGGGGTGAGGGAGAAGTCGCTTCCCTTACTTCTGACAAGGAAAATTAAGCCTCTTCTTTTTAATTTGCATTTGCCCTCACACCACTCACGTTTCCTAGACACATACCACAGTTTCCCATACCTTTGTGCTAATTTTCTCTCCACCTGAAACAGCTTCTGTCTTCTTCCTGCTCTTCTTCAAAAACTCATTATTCAAGGTATGGATCAACTCTCAAGTCTTCCTTGAGGTCTTCTCTGGCCTTACCAGATACCACCGGGATGCAGCTAGCATTTACTTAGTGCTTACAGCAAGCAATCGCAAAGCTCAGTGGCCACCCTCCCCACCCTTCTGACATTGTCTATATGCCTCCTCCACTAAACTGAGCTGTAGCCACGGAGTAAATGCGTAATAGATTTTTGGAGACATAGTCAACTAGGGAATCAGAACACTTCTATTGTAAAAAAAGAAAGAAAGAAAGAAAGAAAGAAAGAAAGA